TGTGTGTGTGTGTGTGTGTGTGTGTGTGTGTGTGTGTGTGTGTGTAATCTACTAGTCTTGAATTCACAGCCATCCTACTGCCTCAGCCTCAGCCTCCTGACTGCTAAGATTATAGGCATGAGCCACCACACCCAGTTATTTATTTTTAAGACTATTTTTTCCTGTTGATTTGAGCTTCCCTTTACCTAATTTAGACTACTTACCTGGCTGAGGAATGTGTCTCCCCAGAGTACTTTGTATTGCCTCCTTCTTGAGCTAATAGTACTGTGACTGAATTTTGAAAACTTGTAGCACAGGCTTCAGGTTCTCATTCCTAGTATTTACCCCTAAGTGATTTATTGAGATACTTTGCCATTGAATGCTTCCAGCTCAGACTTAAGGGAACATCTTCTCAGAAAGAACCCAGTATTTATGTTATTTACTTAACTGTATCTGCAAGTTCTTACTTGTTTGATGCATAAATGCCTCAAAGAATGATCCCATTTCACAGATAAGGGAGTGGAGGTTCATGCAGGGTGATCTTAGGGCTTAGAAGGTAGCACTTGCCTGCTTGAGCCTTACCCTCCTTCTGCACTTCACATCCTTGTCACTATCTTGTGGTCTTGCCTGCCTGCCTCTTTTCTTTTTTCATTTCCTTTCCCTTCCTCCTTCCCTCCCTCCCTCCAAGCTTCTTTTGTCCCTTCTTCCTTCATACAAGAAGGTTCTCACTCTATAGCCCTGGCTGGCCTAGAATTCGCTATGTAGACCAGGCTGCTTTGCACTTGGCAGAGATCTTCTGCCTCTGCTTGCCAAGTGCTTGAGATTACAAGCCTAAGGTACCATGCTTAACTTTTCTTTACGTTTTATATAATAATTTCTAGTTCCTAGTATTTTCAATGGGGCCAGGGGTCTTAAAGCATATAAAACTCAACTAGTTAAGCTGTTTTGAAAAGTTTTACTTGGTCCAGTATTTTAATTCAAAATTTTAACAGAAAGGCAGCTTTGTGAAAGAGTGTTCTCCGCAAGGGCACAGAGATCAGGGCAGTCTCTTTAGGAAATGACACCCTGTGGTGGGAAGGGGGCAAGATAAAGTTTTATGTTCCTAAATCAAGGGCTTGTATTTGGTTCCCATGAACCTTAAACAGCTCCTGGACCTCACTTCAAGCCAAGGGAGTTCTGTCTGGTTCATTTTAAGTCAATCTAGATGAAAAGCCAGCCAAATAGCAGCGATCGCAGCACCTAATCTGGAAACACAATGGCTGCGCTGTGGGGACAAATTGAGACGAGTGTCTTTTTGCAATGATGGCTCTTGAGCATCACTTGGGTGGGTGATCAGAACCATAAAAAGAGACCCTCATGTGACCTATGCCTATAATTCCCAGCACTTAGGAGGCGCAGGCAGGAGGATCAGGAGTGCAAGGCCATCCTCCGCTATATGAAGTCTGAAGCCTGCCTCAAAAAAGGAAAGGAAACTTGCTCATGAAAAGATTAGAAAAAGACTTTAACTCTTATAGATTATATAGTCACATGGTTAAAAAAATTAAGGAGGTATCTGTGAACTCTTTTCTCTTTCATCTTAAATTTTATTATTGGGCTGGACAAGGGGGTACATGTCCATCCCCAAACTCTGAGGAAGTAGGTGGAGGTGGCTCATGAGTTCAAAGTTACCAGCTATATAGCAGTTTAGATTGGGCTACATGAGACTCAGTTTCAAAAAGTAAAAACAAAAACCTTTTATTGGTTTCTGGGTGTCCTTCCAGATTCCAATATGTGTATAAGATTGATAGATGATAGATGATAGATAGATAGATAGATAGATAGATGATAGATAGATAGATAGATAGATAGATAGATAGATAGATAGATAGATAGATAGTTTGTGGGCACAGTGATGTCTTGAAAGTAAGCTGCCCTGAATTTGATCCATGGAGTGAGCAAGACTGGTGAGCTTATAGTAGCTTGTGTGTATGGCAAAGACATCTTGCCGTTTAGTCCTTACCCTTGTGGGCTTGCTTTTGGTCATAAGTAAATCAGTAGAATGCCTTGCACCTTATTTCTCCGTAAATAGCTATTTTCAGATGAGAAAGTAGTATGAAACTCTTATCTTTAATCTCTAGCCCTTAGGGCTTTTATTTGACTTTGAAGTATTTGGGTTTTTAGGACTGCATTCTAACCTTGCAATGAGATTTGCTCTTTGTTTACTTTTAGATGCCTGTCTTAGATGTCAAGCTGAAAATAAACAAGAGGATTGTGTTGGTATGTTGCAATTCTTTCTCCTGCCTTTTCAATTAATGAAACTCTTATCTTTAATCTCTAGCCCTTAGGGCTTTTATTTGACTTTGAAGTATTTGGGTTTTTAGGACTGCATTCTAACCTTGCAATGAGATTTGCTCTTTGTTTACTTTTAGATGCCTGTCTTAGATGTCAAGCTGAAAATAAACAAGAGGATTGTGTTGGTATGTTGCAATTCTTTCTCCTGCCTTTTCAATTATAGTTCTCTCTCTCTCTCTCTCTCTCCTCTCTTTCTCTCCCTGGGGATGTTTGAATTTGCAATTAAAATTGATTTTATTGGGCTAGTTTTGGTGGTCCAGACCTATAATCTTGGCACTGGGGAGGTCAAGGCCAGCCTGTGCTATGTAGTGAGAATATATATATATATAATACAAACCATAAAGCACTGATCTGTTAGTAATCTAAAATGTTTTGGAACTGACAGGATGGCTAAATGGATAAAGGTAGGTGCCAAACAAGCCTGATGACCTGAGGTCAATCCCTAGAAGACACATAAAGGTAGAAGAGAGAATTGACTCCACAGAGTTGGCCTCTGACTTCCACATGAGCACCATAGCATGCATGTCATCATACACACATCATATATGAACACGATAATAATAAAAATAAAAGTTTAAAAAAAGCTCAAGTAAAAGGAAGGAATTATAATGGCAGACTTCACTGATAGAACCTATCTTTTCAATAAACTAATTTTTGTTCTTTTGTTTTTATTTTGTTTCATTTTTTAGATAGGGTCTCACTGTATAGCCCAATTGGTCTGGAACTTGCTTATGTAGATCACCAGGCTAGCCTAGAACTCAAAGATCTGCCTGCCTCTGCCGCCCAAATGCTAGGATTAAAGGTGTGCAACACCACACCCAACAAAATGTTTTAATTCTTAAAAAGCCTTATTGAAGCTGGGCATGGTGGTGCACTCCTTTAGTCCCAGCTTTCAGGAGGCAGAGGCAGGTGGATCTCTGAGTTCAAGGCCAGCCTGGTCTACATAGTGAGTTCCAGGCCAGCTGGGGCTACAGGGAAACCCTGTCTCAAAAAGACTGGAAAAAAAAAAAGACTGAAATAATTAAGAATTGGTTACATATTCCAGGCATGGTCATAGTGAACATTTTGTTAGGCAGAAAGAAATATTACCTCCTATTAAAACTACAGAGCCAGGTAGCACACACTTGTAATCCCAGCCTTAAGGTGCAGAGGCAGGGGGATCATTGCAAATTGGAGACCAGCCAGGGCTATACAGTGAGACCCTGTCTCACAAAGAAAAGGAGGAAGTGGGGGGAGAGGGGGGGAGAAAGAAAGAGGGAGCAACAGAGAAAGGGAAAGGAGAAAAGAAAGATACATTGCAAGACCTGGACTAAGGATTACCATGGCCTGCATAATTTCCAAGTCCTTCTGGGCTCCATGGTGAGGCCCTGTCTCAGAAACCTTTGATCGTAGAGAGGTGCCTCTCTGCAGTCACTTTGAAAATTTCATTGTCACATGACGGCCACACCGCTTGTGGATGGCTTTTTTGCCATTATTGTTGGGTGGTTTTGGTTTTGGGTCTCAGTGTATGCCCTGGCTTGGCGCTCCCTATTTAGAAAAGGCTGACCTTTAAGTGATTCTCTTCCCCTAGGACTTACAGGGTTGTGTCACCACAGCTGGATGACTTAACACAATTCATCACTTCTAGAGAGCAACTCAATAGGTGTACAACTAAAAATGTTTACATGGCTACTGTCTAATAGCCATCTATGTGTTGAGAACATGTATAACTTAATATATCTTGGTAAATAAAAACCAGGAGGACATTTTTCAATAAATAAAAGCAAAAGATCCCTAAGGTTGCATGACTGAGATCTGGGATCTAAGGAAAGTTCTAGTCCTTTGATCTCCTGACTATAGGAACTATGACTATGACTTGTTTTAAAAAATGCTAATTCTGGGTTTGGGGATTTAGCACAGTGGTAGAGCACTTGCCTAGCAAGCACAAGGCCCAGGGTTCGGTCCTTAGTTCAAAAAAGAAAAAGCTAATTCTGAACTTAATAATTTAATTTTAAAATATATTTATTTTAGACTTTTGACAATTTCATATATGTGACAGTATATCGTGACCATATCTACCCCAGCTCTTCCTTCCCACTCCCCCTGGGCCCCTCCCATCTTCATGTCCTCTTGAGCTTAGTGATTTAAATTGAACTCTCATGTCGATTGTTCTTTGGTTGTTAGTTTTGTTGTTTTGAGACAGGGTCTTACTGTGTAGCCGGACCAGCCTTGCTATTGGTGGCAATTCTGCCTCAGCTTTCCGAGTACACAGATCACAGGCGTGCACCACTGCACCAGCTGCTCAGCTTTCTTTTTCTTTCTTGCAGTGGTCTGGGGAGAATGTAATCACTCTTTCCACAACTGCTGCATGTCCCTGTGGGTGAAGCAGAACAATCGTTGCCCTCTCTGCCAGCAGGACTGGGTGGTCCAGAGAATCGGCAAATGAGACGTTACTAGGCTGCTTTCCCAGTGCAGTGGTTTGCAGTCCTGGTCGATCTTGCTGTCACATACTGGACAAAGGCTCGAGCATGCCAAGGGATTCATTCTTCAAATAGAAAACCATGGATCTGCAGTCCTAGGGGACTCATCAGAGGCATAATTTGGCATTCTGTCAATTCTCAGAAATTCTCTACAATTAAGAAGATAATTTATTAAAGACAGTCTTTCCTACCTCTGTGGTATGTGGAGTCCACACTGCTCAGAAGTGCTATGACAAAGGAGAGAACTCCAGCAAATTAAATGACTTCGTCCTTTATTTGTGGGTGTACAAGGAACTGTGAGAGCAATTTCCTTCACAGAAGAACTTGCTTATCTATGCTTAAATAATTTAAAAAAGAGAATGTTACAGTGACAAAATGCAGTCAAAAACCCAACTCCTAATATTTATCATTAGGAGGACAGCCCATGGCATCTTCATTTGCTCTAAATGAGAATTTCAGTTTTAGACCAGTGAACAGGGTAAATAAATGTACTTCTCAACCATGTGGGGCTTTGATTGTCTCTGAAGTTTATCTCCACCTTTGACTCATCAAGAAAACCTAGATCTGCACTTACCTCACTGTCAAATCATTGAATTGTAAAGAGGTATTCTTAATTCTGGTAAGCTTATGTTGTGTTTTAGTCAAAATATTAATGGGGAAATGTTTACCACTGTAACATTGGAGTTAATTACACAGTGTTTTAATAAATGAATTATTCTGCTTACTTTGAGTTATTATAATTTTTTTTGTTTTGTTTTTTTTTGGTCTTTTTGAGACAGGGGCTCCCTGTAGCCCCAGTTGTCCTGGAACTCACTATGTAGACCAGGCTGGCCTTGAACTCATAGAAATCCACCTGCCTCTGCCTCCCAAGTGCTGGGATTAAAGGCGTGCGCCACCATGCCCTTATAATTTTATGTACACCCTTAAATTTAATAATTTGAGTAAATTTTAGGAAATTAGTATATTCTTTCATTTGGCAGTAAAAGTTATTTGGAAACATAAATCTTAATTGTATGACACTCATTCAGTGGGCCTGGGAGGTTGGCTCAGTTGGTGAAGTGCTTGCTTCTGCAATCCTGAGTACCCGACTTGAATCCCATAGAAAAAGCAGGCATGGCAACACATGCCTAATCAACCTAGCATTGAGAAGACAAAGACTGGAAATCCCTGGGGCTGGGTGACCATCATCAGCCAGTCTGCTCAAATTGGTGAGCCCCAGGTTCAGTGAGAGGCTGTCTCTAAAATCAAGGTGGAGCAGGACTGGGGCCTGGGAATACATGTGCACACAGGAGTATATATACAAAATCTCATTCAAGGCAAGTTATTTTGTAATGAATGATAAGCCCTGATTTTTTTTTTTTAATTCTTCTATAATGGAGGTTACTGATAGCAATTTAAAAGGGAAAAAATTGGGTGGGACTAGAGAGATGGGTCAGTGGTTAAGAACACTGACTACACTTGGAGAAGACCTGGGTTCAGTTCCCAGCACCCACATGTAGGCCAACAATTCCAGCTCCAGGGGATCCCACGCCCTCTTCTGGCCTCCAGGGGCTTTGCACACACAGGAGGCATGCAAAGCATTCATACACATAAAACAAAAAAAATTTTTGGTCTTTTTGAGACAGGGTCTCCCTGTAGCCCCAGCTGGCTTGGAACTCACTATGTAGACCAGGCTGGCCTTGAACTCACAGTGATCTGCCTGCCTCTGACTCCCAAGTGCTGGGACTAAAGGCATGTGCCACCACGCCCAGCACAAATTTTTTTAAATTAAAAAAAAATAGGAGTAATGGCTCAGCAGTCAAGAGTACTTGGTCTTGCAGAGGATCTGGGTTGGGTTCCTAGCACCCATATGGTGGCTCACACCAGTCTGTAACATAGTTCCAAGGGCTCCAACACCCTCTTCTAGCCTACACAGGCACTAGGCACACAGCTAGGGCACATACATGCAAGCAAGAATAGAAATCTTTAAGCCAGGTGTGGTGATACATATGCCTTTAATTCCAGCACTCAGGAGGCAGAGGCAGGTGGATCTCTGTGAGTTCAAGACCAACCTGGTCTACACAGCAAGTTCTAGGCTAGCTGGGGCTACAGGGAGACCCTGTCTCAAAAAGACCAAAATAAATGTAAATCTTTAAAAAGCTATTCACATCTGCAGATTCAAGTTTGCCATTCTGAATTTTTTTAAATCTAAGAAATGTGAATACTTAACAAGAATGTTTTTAACTGAATAAAAATTAGAATTATGGAGGGTTTTTTAAGTAGACAAGAGGATTTGAGACAGGATCTCTGTATAACCCTGGCTGGTCAGGAACTGTAGTGGGGGCGGGCTGGCCTCAAACTTGTGGCAAGCCCTCTACCTCTGTCTCCCAAGTAGTCCCAAGTATAGAGATTACAGACATGCGCTATCATACCTAGTTGAATTACATATTCTTTCATAGTGCCTACTTTTTTTACTCTGGGATTTCTCTGCAAATTTTTGCTACTATGATAAGACCATTTAAAGAAATACAGGTAAAATTTTTCTAAGTTTTCTAGCTACTACAAAAAGGGGATTGGAAGAGATGGCTCAGTGGGTAACAGCACTGGCTGCTCTTACAGAGGACCCAGGTTTGGTTCCCAGCACCCACGTGGCAGCTGACAAGCGTCTGTGACTCCAGTTGTGGTCTTTGTGGGCACTACATGTACCTAGTGCACATACATACATGCAGGCAAAACACATAAAGTCTATTTTTTAATGTCAATATATGGAATTTTTTGTTATTTTAAAATTTTTGTGTATTTCATACAGAACATCTCTATCTTAATCATCTTTAAAATCTTTTAAAAGCACAAATACATATGATCACTTGACTGTGTCTATCATTATGCAATTAACTATTCAGCAGCTTTTTCGGCTTTTTAAAAAGGTTGCAGTCATAAAATGTGAACCAGATACTTGGCTTTGCAGTGAAAAGGAAAGTCGTTGTGAAAGTAGTTGCATGTCAGTTTACCTGGGTGGATATGACTGTAAATAAAATCTGGAGGATGTTGGTAAACGAGTTAGCTTTCCACCCATCAAAACCCCAGTCCTACTATCTAACAAAGCCCCATTTATACTGTACCATCAGCATCTGAGGAGAGAGGAGGCGGCCCTGGAACAAAGCTTAGCTCTGGCCCCGCCCCCTGGGATATCACTCATCTGCATAGCCATCTGAGAGTTCCGTACATACTGTTTCATCAGAGGGAACATGCCATGGCATTTTGAATGTGGGTTCCCAAACAAAACCACAGAACAGGGTTTTCTTTCCAAATGAATAAGTGATATTTAATGTTTTAAATATTAGTGTGCTGGATAGCTTTAGTGTCAACTTGACACACCTGTGTTGAGGGAGCCTAATTGAGGAATTGCCTCCATTGGACTGGCCTGTGGCCATCTCTGTGGGGTATTTTCTTGATTGTTGAGTGATGTGGGAGGGCCCAGCCCACTGTGGGTAGTGCCACCCCTGGGCAGGTGGGCCTGTGTTGGATAAGAGAGCAAGCTGAGCAAGGGCCAGGGGAGCAAGCCAGTAAGCAGCGTTTCTCCATGGCCTGTGTTCCAGCTCCTGCTCCCAGGTTCCTGCCCTGAGTTCCTACCTTGGGTTCCCTGATGAACTGCGACCTGGGAGTTGTAAGCTGAATAAACCCTTTCCTCCCCAAGTTGGTATTGATCAGAGTGTTTTGTCACAGCAATGAAGAGAACAAACCAGAACAATTAGTAAGCTTCATTTTAAAACTGCAAAAGAATAATATTGTAAAGAGCAGTTACGTTCTAGGCTCAGGTCATTGTAAACATTTTTCTACTGCAGGGATATAAGGCCCATGGGTTGCTGACCTGTGTGCTATGTAGGGTCATCTCACATCACAAGACACCTAACCTCCCCAGTCTTTGCCCACTGTATTTGTGTCATCTCTCAAAGTTCTTATTTCAAAAACTTCTGTTGGAGGCAGGACAGGCTCTCTTGGAACAAGGATCTTGTTGCTCAACAGATATGGATTGTACATTTTGCTGTCACAGCCTCTCAGTGGCACCCTAATGATGAAGGCATGAAATAATTTCTTTAAAAGGTAAGATACATTTTTTTGTTTGGTGCTGGGGATTGAATCCAAGGTCTTGCATGCTACTGCTGGGCTGTATCTTCAGCCCCAGGGTTTTAATTTCAAGTGAATCAGTGTGAACTCTAGAGGGTGAACAACTCCAGTTAATGGACAGAACCTAGTGCTCACCGGGGGCTGGTGAAACTCACTTGACAAAGGCTTTTCGGCCCAAAGAATAAGCTCAAAGTTTTTGGTTTTGTTTTTTATAATTGAAGCTAGGGTAGAAAGCTTTAGAATTTAAAAATATTCCTTTAGAAGTTTATGAATATCTGATGTAAGCTGTAAGAAAAATGTTTTTGTCTTTTTTTTTTAAAGTTATTGCAAAGGAGAAACTGCATAATAAACATCGTGTGCTCGCCAATGAAAATGGGATTTCCAGCATTTAGTAAGGCCCATGCGAAACATGCTCAAGAAAATCCGGTGTGAAGACACATACCCACAACATTTGGGAGACTGAGGCAGGAGGTTCACAAGCATAGGCTGTACAACCAGACCCTGTGAAATCAAGAAGAAATGCTACAGATTTGGATAGAAAGTTTTACCTAAAGTATAAATATGTCTTGAGCTATTTTATATTGAACATACAAGTGTATACCAAAGTACATGAAACTCTTTGATGTTTACTTGAAGTTACCCTTACCTCTTTACTTGCTCAGGAGCCCACACTAGCCTTCAAGCTTGATTCTCCCGCCCCGGCCTCCTGAGGGCTGGGATTGCAGGCTTGCAACCACCATACCCAGCATACCACCTTTATATCAGTTCCCTTCTGTCATGGTTAGGTTTTCTTCAACAAATATGTCCCCAAGGAAAAATATATTCTCTGCCTTTTGATACTATTAATAACAGCTGAGACTTGAGAACGGGACTAACTTTGAATAAATCATGTACCTCATTTTCCTATGCATTAGAGAAAATGCAGCTTCACTAGATTATTTGAGGATGAAGGACTGTGTTACTTTTCTTGTGCTGTCATCAAGTACTTAACAAAAGCAACTTGAGGATGCGTTTATTTTGGCTCAGTCCCAGGAGATGTTTCATCGTGGCAGGGTGGAGAAGGTGAGGTGGTCCACGGGAGGAGACATGAACACTGCATCTCCACTTCCTTTCTGCTTTGTGTTTGAGCCAGAAGCCTAGCCCATGGGATGCTACTGCCACAGTTAGGGTGGCATTTTCTAGAAGCTTCCTCATTGACATGCCCGGAAGTTTGTTTCAAGTGATTCTGTATCCAGTCACACTGACAACTGTCATAGGATTGAGCGAGCAAACTAAGAACAGAGCCAGCACTGGTAAGGGTAGCTGACATGTCCTGTGTGAAAGCTCCTTCGGTAGAAGTGTGACTATACATGAACTATAAATACTTGATTGTTGGAGATTGTACTTTAGAATGTAAATGCCCATCAGTTTTTATGTTTGTGAATTCATCTGAGGAGGGGGAGTAAACAAAACCCAAAAGTATTAAATGATTTTATGTGGTTTTCTTTTTGTTCTATAAATATTTGAAAAATATTTGTATATTATTTAATTATTTGGAATTTACAGAACACACTTAAGGATTTAAGATATAGGGGCTGGAGAGATGGCGCAGCGGTTAAGAGCACTGACTGCTCTTGC